GAGAGAGAATGAATTCTGTCAATATGAGGTTAAATTTAACCACCCTAATTGTTCCAGTGGCCGTAAATGATACTCATTGGGGAAAGTTCAACTTACTCATTTGCAGATAAATAGTTCTCTACTTTATTTCTCTGAAAATATGTAGTTCCTATAAAAGTCCAAAAAGCATAATAATAAAGGCTAATAGTTACTGAGAACTCACTGTGTGTGCATATCAGACATAGCAGGTGTTATCTATAATGGATAACCTCCTCCATCACTCATCCAAGCTGACCACAGCTTCCCACTGTTCCAGCTTGCTTATTAAATGATCAGCCCATGGCCCACTGTGTGCCAGGCACTATTCCATGTGCTGGGACATGTTAGTGAACAAAAAGAGTCCCTGCCCTCATGGAACTGATTTGAATATTAGCCCTCCTAGTGACCACCAGTTAACTGACTCCTCCACTTGGTCTCTATTCATTAGTTTTTCCCTTTCTTTAGCCTCTTCCTTATCCAGCTTGTTGAGCACAGCCAATCATTTCAATATCCTAAATTTCCCTGCTCCTCTATCATTCCATCCCACCAATCTGGCAAAAATCCTAGCTCTATATGAATGCAAATATTTGCCTTTTCTGTGCATTCACCCACATACCTAAATGTAGCTGCAGGAATCACACTGTAGGGAAGATCAGTAATTGTTTTATAATTCATAATCACCAGCCTCAAACAGACTCTCGACAAGCCTGAAATTTTCAGTATTCTTTAGTTAACTGTAAACAAGGACTATTTCAACTACTTACATGAAAACTATCTCAATTTTTCTTTACTTTCTTCAAATCTTCAAAGTGGTCCATTTTCTGGTAATTTCTGCAAATGACTACAACTCCAGAAAAAGTAGAAAGAGAAACCACAGAGAAAATAGAAGGCAGCAGAGAGGATCTTTATTATCTCCTCAATAGGAAACATAAACGTCAATCCAATTCTCCCACCCTCCAGTTACACAAAGAAGCTGTTCTTCTTACCTAAGGGCAACTTCTCTATCTGGGCTTTCTTTCCATTCCATCTCAGACCCTTTTAATTTGTGCCCCTTCTTTCTCTTATATTTCCAGTGTCTTCAAGTGAAAGCTTAAGTTACTCATTGGAGATCTTTCTCCTTTTTTAACAAAGGCATTTAATACTATAAATTTCCCTCTATGCACTGCTTTAGATGCATCCCACCTTTGTAATGTTGTGTCTTCATTTTTATGCAGCTCAAAGCATTTTCTGATTTTTCTTGTTTCCCCTACTGGCTCTTTAGGAGTGTGTTAATTTTCACATATTTGTGAATTTCTCAAGTTTATTTCTGTTAGTAATTTCTAATTTCACTCTACTGTGATTGAGAAATATACTTTGTGTGATTTCAGTCCTTTTAAATTTATTGAGGCTTATCTTATGACCTAGCATATGATCTATCCTGAAGAATATTACTTGTTCACTTGAGAAGATGTGTATTCTGTTGTCATTGGGTGGAATGTTCTATAAACGATTATTAATCTAGATGGTTTTAGTTAATATGCTAATCCTAAGGCACCTTAGTCCCCTGGTTTCTAATGGTCTTCACCTCTGCTTAACTTCATCCATATCTTGGAAACTGTCATCATCTATGACAAAGGTCAGCAAGCTACATATAGATAGCCTTTGAGAAAAATCAGGCCTCCCACTTGTTTTTGTAAATAAGGTTTTACTATAACACGGTCATTCCTATTTATGTACTTACTGTCTATGCCTTCATGCTTTTCAATGGCAGAGCTAAAAAGTTGTAACAGAAACCACATGGCCTGCAAAGATGAAAATATTTACTATCTGGTCTTTTACAGAAAAAGTTTGCTAATCCCTTATCTAGAAGACATATACAGATCTCACATGCAGATATTTCACTCAGGTCCTTCAAGCTCCTTCATTTCCTTATTCCAAGAACAACTACTCTTCTACCTCAAAGAAACCTTCACTCCTTTCACTCTAATCTTTCACTTACTTCATGGCTTTGCTTCCTTCTCTATGGAACCTTCATGGTGAATCCCTTTAACCACTCTCACCAGATCCTCAATGTCTTCATATTTAGGTTCTTCTATTGTAGCCTACAAAACTTCATGTTTAGCTCTTTCCAACCACCCTTCTTCATCCTTTCCACATACAGGCTATTCTGAACTGGTAGAGAAATAACACAACCAGGCATGTTGATAAAAATATACATTCACAGTATTCAACTTTGTCTGGATATTCACCGATCTGAGGAAATTTTTCTCTGTCCCTAATAGGTAACATTCCCCACTGTTATAATTGATTTCCCAAACACCACAACTGTCCTCAAATCCTAATCCTTATTCCTCCACAAATCTCTTAGAAGATGGCTTTGTCTTTGTCAGGGCTCAGAACATGATACCCCAAAATATGGCACCTTGGAGAGCACACTCTGATCTTCTCCCCGCTTTCACCTCTGAAGCCTGGTCATCCAAAAATAAAGTTTCTGACCTACTTCTTCTGAAAGGAGATCATAAGACTGGCATTCCAGAGCAGTCCTTCCCTACACCCAGAGGTCAAGAAGAATCTGGACAAACAGGCCTTGCCAAGTTTCCCCCAGTTTATTACCATCAGAACATAACCCTCCTTTTGTCCCCCAGTCAAACTCCTGCAAAGCTGCCCATAAAAACACACAGTTTTCCCTGGGTCTTTGGGTCTTCATTTCTGAAGGCTCCCGTGTCACATAAAACTTTGGTTCAATAAATTTGTTACGCTTTTCTTTTGTTAATCTCTTTTGTTATGGGGTATCCCTTATGACTCTTGAGATGAGTAAGGGAAAGATATTACCTTTTCTCCCTTATATATTACTCTTCGCAGCAAAAAATGAAGGAACTACGCATGAACTTTCTCAGCTTCAAACTAAGACATGAACGAATATGTCTACAGCCGTATCTATTCTCACCGCTTTTCTTCCAGGCTCTGAAAAAGAGGCATTCAAGATCATCCCTGGATCAAAGCTGTTAATCTCACTTCTCTGGCCATCACCAGGACCAAGACCATGTCCCCATTAGTTATTTTCTTCTCTTTATACTTTCAAACCTCTTCCAGAACATACTCTATAGTTTATATGCAGGCTAAAGCTTTTCCTATATTAAAAAAGCATGAAAAATTATCCTTTCTGCTACTCCATACTGCCTCTCTGCACCAGTTCACAGGTTCACTGAGTGAAAGGGGCCAAGT